TTAAGTATTGAAAAATAGGTACTTAATACCTTAAATTTTGATAGTTTAATTGATGCATGTGTAGCAGCAAAAGCACGAAAGGTTCATATAATGTAACCATGAATACCAGAATGCTTCCTGTACAAGATCTAGTTAAGTATATGTACAGTTTTGTAAACTAATAAAATTTGTTATATGTAAACTTAAGTATTATTTTATCAGTCTGTTTTATAATCCATGTACACCACAAGTGACTGGCTTCTCGTATAAAACATAAGTTTCAAAACTAGGGATATAACAGAAATTTATTCTGCAAGATTGAAAGATTACTCTAGCTGTGTGACTTTGAACAATACTGGATGACATAAATATCAAAATGGTTTACAAATTATGTAAGTACACCTAGTAGGCTATACTTCATTAGTTCCAGGTTTACAGTTGTGATATTGTGAGATGTTATATTGTGACTTTATTTTAGGCCTGTGTAAGGCGGTAATTAATTCTTTATGTTATTGTCATTAAGTGGGTAATGAGTCACAAAACAAATGATCAAACATTTCAGGGGTGGGGCACCAAAAGTGTCTTTGCTCCCGGGTGCTGAGAACCTTTGCTACTCCACTGTTGCTCAGTTACAACCGATACATTCTGTTGAACATTGAATTCTTGATTGATGCTCCATCACAGCAATCAGGGCTCAGGGCTGATTGTGCACAAGTTTTCTTCTGACATACAAGTCAGCATTTCTCCTCTCTTGATGAGGGGTTTTCTGTTGTTTAGGAGAAAGTACACAATGTCTTGGTGTTCATTCTGCTCGGTGGTGGAGCAAGGCCAGATTGATGAAAATCATTATGCTTATTACAGCTCCTTTCTGGTCACTATTAAGGAATTTAAACAGTGTGGTGCCTCACGGGTGCTAAACGACGATAGAAAAAATATATTACACAGACCCACTCAAAAGTCTCAGCAGCATGTTTCTGATCAATGGCTGTTCATGGTAGCTTTCCACTTGTATCTTTAATTTCGTATAATATTCACAACAATGGCTGACATTAACAGCAACTCTGGAAGGCCCAGGCAACAGTTCTGTCATCTCAAGGATAACCAGAATTTTAAAGCTCTGAAAAACTTGTCAACAGTTGAACAGAGGTTGACTGATCTACTCCTTAAACTGGTATAGCTTCTTCTCTGTCACAGATTAAATCTGAGAACAGAAATATCTGAAAAGGTGTTTCAGGAAGAGCATGAGAGAGAAAAAACAACATTAGGTGAAATAGATACAAACAAACTACCTCTTCTGCACTAACTAGATTCTAGTTTGGCACCAATATTTTATTGCTTGAGGTAATCTCTTGTATTCAGACATTTGGAATAGAGAAGCACACATTCAACTGAACACTAAAACAAGCTTGTGTTACTACAACATGGGAGGAGAGGTGTAATGATTGGTCACCAGTTACATGAATGAGACATGATGCAGTGTGAATACAAACAGAGAAAACTATTATGGATAATTAAAACAATGGAGTATGGCAAGATTATTAAGTTTGAGTAAAATAAAATGTTTAAAAGTTAATTGAAACTGCAAGCTGAAAATGAGAAATGTAGCTAGATAAAAATGGGCTGGAAAAGTTAGAAAATGTGTATACTGCACCAACACATCTTTTATAAAATTGGAATGAAGCAACAAAACTGTTTTCATGATTCATAGTCTCTCTATAGCTGGATTACCACAAACAGTAAGTGTCTTTGCTTCTTGTGACAGCTGTAAAATAACCTCATACATAGGGTGATGTTGGATACAATAAAACTATGCCATGAAACAGCAGATAACATTTACATCTAACTCTATAGCTGGATTACAACAAACAGTAAGTGTCTTTGCTTCTTGTTACGGCTGTAAAATAACCTCATCATAGGGTGATGTTGGATACAATAAAACTATGCCATGAAACAGCAGATAACATTTACATCTAACTCTATAGCTATATTACCACAAACAGTAAGTGTCTTTGTTTCTTGTGACAGCTGTAAAATAACCTCATCATAGGGTGATGTTGGATACAATAAAACTATGCCATGAAACAGCAGATAACATTTACATCTAAATTAGCGTATGGCTTAGACCAAAGTTATTAGTTCTTTAACTAGAACTAAAGGAAAAATGGTTTCTTTTACTATATTACAGATATAAAAAAGTGGAATGTGATAACTAAATACAACAATGTGCAGGAGATATTACAGGTCGTCCAATACTGATTGATTGATTGTTTGTTTGTTTTAGCAGTGTAAGACTAGAGGGATGGCAGCTACTTATCACCAACTCTTGGGCTACTCTTTCACAAACGAATAGTGGGGATTGACCATCACACTATAATGCCCCCACGGCTGAAATGGCGAGCATGTTTGGTGGGACGGGGATTCAAACCCGTGTCCCCCAGATTGCGAGTCGAGCACCATAACGACATTAGACAGAAGAAAAGCTAAAAAGTAATTTATAACATATGAAACTAAATTTTCACAAACATTCCAAACTTAATATTTCTCACGTTCAACGGCAAACAAACAAAATACTTATGTTTTTTAACATGATACATAATTAGAAAGTTTATTTTGAATGCACACAATTTTAAGTTGAATAACTACATAATGTCTATTACTAGCAATAATAAATGAATACAAATATTTTATTTCAAATGTAACATTACAAGATAATCCTAACCCTTTAACCAGGATTACTGTCATACAAACTATGGCTTAATTTGTACAGTAATATTAAACATAACCAGCATTATTTAAGAAACTTTCATGATTCTAACAAACACTTATCCAAGCCCATCAATTTTTAATAACAAAATATTTTACTAATCGAAATAAACATGTTGAACTAATCATCAACTAATCAGATCTTCAATCATTATCATTTTTAACTGAACATAAAATCCTTCAGATTCAGTAGATACAAATAATAATATGAAAACTTTGGATCATTAACAAATTCATATTTGATCAAATTAAAATAATAGGTTGTCAATATAATAATAAACCTTATTTGTTAATATAATATATGTACTGGTAACCATTCAAAAACTTCAGTCTTTATTAAAAGTTCATTTCTTAACACATCAAAAGAACATGTCACTACCATACAGAAAAACTTATCACTAGATATTATCTGTGAATAATTACACCAAAAGTACAAAATATATAAAACCAATGTAAAAGAGAAATATAATTCCAATTATTATATTTAATAATTTGTTAAGTTGCTAAGTAGTGGAATATTTCATTTTTTTATGGTTAAAATATGATAATTATTTTAATGGGATTGTTACATGTATTAATAAACATTATCAGTGTTATGTTTGAAAAAAAAAGATACCAGTTTACTTCAGCTTTATAAAACATATAATGACTTTCAATTTTAATTAAATTCAAAACTCGGGATGTTCAACAAATTCGTCTAAATTTGAGTATTATGGAAACACTACGTCACTTTGCTATTTTATGAAGTTATATTATTACACTGACTTTATTTTTACACAAGTAAAGAAAAACTTTTCAAAAAAGGAAGTAAATGTAGGGATGGCTAATATCAATCCTTCAAAAACAACATAAACAAAATAGTAGGGATGGCACTTGCATCATCCCTACATAGCACAGGCACACAGCATAGTAGAATGTTAACAGATAAAAAATAGAATAAAGTCAAATGTCATTGAATAGTTATATATATTGCTATATGTTAATTCTTGCCTGTGCTATTATGTAAGGATAATGCAAATATCATCCCTACTATCTTGTTTGCATTCTTTTCAAAGGATTGACATTAGTCATCTCCACATTTACTTCCTTTTTTGAAAAGTTTTTCTTCACTTGTTGGTTTTGTTTAGTGCAGTGTTTCAATAGACATAGGAACTTCTAAATACAATGAGGTTCCAATTTTAATATTTATTATTTATCTATTATTGGCTGGTAATTCCCGTTTCACCATGTACTTAACTTTGTAAAGGAACACCAAATTTCTGTGAGAAAGCTAGCTTCAAGGGGTAATGATAACAGTTTACACTATAATTATGATTTTTTTTAATTACTACTAGTTATTAATAATTCTTATAAAAGCAGATACTTCATTTGAAACTACGTCACCTCAGTGAAATTGGTTGACACCATTGTTTTGGTTTTTGAGTTATCATGTAATAAAAAAGCAGCAGAAGAAATAAGAACAAGAAATTCAAACTTTTTGCTATAATATTTACAGACATTCCCAGAACTTGTGACTCATTACATAGATAGTTATAAAAGGAAACACTGTACAGTATTGTAAATTCCTGTTTGCTAATTGAGGAGATATTTAAAATACCATTTAGACGAACAATTCAAACCATCCCTACACAGGCAGTGCTACAGCCTCTCTGATAAACATCATATTTATCACTATGTAAAACTTAGAATGCATTGAAATCATCTATCGCCACAGATACTTCATGATTTACTGACTAAATCCTTTAAGATTTGTTTACAAGTTTTTTTAATGTGCTCTCAATTTTTATTAAAACATATTCTAACTGAGGTCATACCAACATATGTTGTTTTTACATCTGTCTACTTGTATATTAACATATATCAGTGTCATATATCTCATAACTAACAAAACCTATTATTCCAGTAGTGGTATAAGACCACTGAAACCCGGTAAAGCCCTGAAATCCAACAGAGGCTTACGTCCATGATATAAGACACTCAAAATGTTAGGTATGTTAGATTCCTATGCTTTCAAGATTTCACTGTTCAAACGTTTAAACCATGTGAGCTACGTATATAAATAACACTTCAGAAAAACTTGTCTCACGCTGTCAAATTCTGTTGATGTGTTCTAGTAATGATTTAAGGGCAGATGGATCTTAAATGCTATTTTACATAGGTATGATATGATATCCATAATGGGTAAATTCAAAGGAATGCAAAAACAGCAATCTATTTTTATTTTGGATGTTAGGCCTATTTAATACCTATTATTCTTTCACATATGCCAACAAAAACAAACAAACAGGAATAACATGATAAGTAAAAATAGTTTTTCACTCCTGCCTATAATGGCATTACATTCCTCACAGTTAAACAATATATTTATTTCATACAAACATTCTAAATATTTTAATCTGTAGCAAAACAATTTTTGTATTGTAACTCACGTATAATGGTATCATATAATGAACAATACTTTCATATTCTTTCATTCAAATTAACAAAAACTGAGAATACTGTGAAAATGTTATTATACAATACAATCCTTGTGCTGTTATCTTAACAACTTTGATAAGAAAATTTGTGCTTACAAATGGAATACTACTGAGACATTATTGATATTCTTTATTAATCAGAATTAAGACTTAATGATAACGAATGAAAATTTACTACAGGAAATAATTATAAACATAGTGTACCAGGTCTGATTTTAATAAAATATTAGCTTGGAGGGCAAGAAACTGTCAGTGTATGACATACTGTCTCACAATAAAGCTCACAGAACTCCATGCTATCTTTATTTGTACCAAGTGCCTTCCGCTGTAGCTATATAGAGCTCTAACTTTTCTTCCAACTAATAACCTCTCTCCTTGAAACCATTACAACTCGGCTCTAACTTTATTTGTAACATACTCCCTGCTTTGGCATGAAACCCTATATGAATCAGTTTTTACTTTGTTTTTAACATTAAAATGTATATAAATAAAGATAGAAAAAAATTACCTTTGATGTGAGGATTTATGATGTATATCTATGTTTTTTAAGTGTACACACAAGGATTTTAAAAAAAGTATACATGATTTGTCAAATACTTGTTATTTTGGGATTTTTCCTTTGTTCCAGATTCTTCTTCATCTAAATTAATTATAGGTACATAATAACTACAATAATGTGAAGCAATAACTTTGAAATTTTATGTTTATATTGGTTGAACCCATCAATTAATAATGGCAGTGATTACTAATCTCTTCATTCTAAGTTTCGATTAATACAGCACTTTCTTGTACAGACAATGTGTTTCAGGATTATTATCCTCCCACACACATTCTCCAGATATAAATGTAGCATGTACACGAAGGTCCTGATCCAGAAGAATAAAATCTGCATCTGAGCCAAAATCCAGTGTTCCTTTCAATGATGTGATACCAAGAACTTGAGCAGGGTGAAGGGTAGCGCACTCTAGTGCTTCAACCTTGTTACATCCTGCACAAGCAGATCATCATTTAAAAAATGGATAAATCATAAAACCTTTAATATTAAACTACAAGCATCTAACTCCTACAAATGGAACACATTAAAATCAAAACATGGGCTATTTAAGGTAGCATATATCCTTTACACAGTGTTATCTAGGTGTTGGTCCTTTTTATCAGAAAAACATTCTCATACTATGCTTTTTGTATAAAAATATATTGAAATAGATACAAAGACATATCCTGGCACATGCTGTGTAACATTACCACTGTGGCTAATTTGCATGTTATAAAAAATAAAGAAATACAAAAGAAATGTCTCTGTTTCTGATAACTTCTACAAACGTGACTGAATTCTCCTGAAAATTGATCCAGACTTTGATGGGATGATAAGAACTAGTCTAAACTCTGAAAAATTAATTAAAGGTCAAATGACAGCACTAATGAGTATGCCTTATGTAGGATATATGCTACAGTGATTCATTAATGGTCATTTAATAAAAACCAAACCTCTTATCAACTTTACTTTAGTATACACTATAGATACACTAGTAATGCCAATTGTGAAGTCTATAGCATCAACAGATCTGAAGTTACAAGTTAAAAACCACTATGAGAATGTCAATTTTCAAATTTTGAATGTGTTTAAAGGCATTTAAATGGAAAACCTTTTATAGTTCATACTTTCTAAGGGTTTGTAGTTTAGCTAACTTTTTTTGCACTGGAAATATTAGGTAAAAATATGCAAAAAAATTAACTCTGATATTTTTTGATATTTCAACGGTATATGCTTTCTTAAGTGAAAAAAAAAGTACCAATAATCAATTATTGTTAGAAATCTGAGAATAAAATAATAAAAGAAACATTTGAGCATTTTCTTTTGAATCTAAATCCCAAAACAATACAATATGACCCATCCAACTCCCCACTGTGCACACCTGTGACATAATTCCTAACTCATTAATAAGTTGAAAACAGTAAATGCCTGTACTTTTTATATTTTAAATCATTATTATTATGACCAAATACATATCACACATTGGTATTTGGAATACTGCATTTTACACAATGTGGAAGTTCTATACTGCGAATCAGACAGTAACAAAAAAAGCGGGAATTCAATTTCATCTACAAGTTTGTTGTCATATCTGTAGCCTTGTCATTGGTCACTTAACAGTTATACTTGTATAATTCCTTTTCTGTTAGTTTTTGCTCGGTGTGGAGTCATGCTAAGTTCCATGTGTGAGCAGACATATACTTAATAATTCTCTACAGATCTTGAGTTATATTCTAAATGGAATTATCTGTCTAGTAAACTACCCAGGTGTCTTCTGAATTTGCTTAGTGCATTTATTGATGAATTTAAATGTAATGGCCAAGAAGTCATTAGGGAAGTATCACTTACAGAATGAAAGTAGTTGTCACTAACTTCAGTTCTGGCATTGAAATCCTTGGGATAAACATACTGAGAGCTTACTGGTCAGTTTTGCCCTGCAACTGGTGAACTGATGTTTTGTGGGAGTGATCCAATGTTGGCCAGATCGATCACAAGAACAATGAACTGCACAAGTTTTATATGGGAGAAGTCACAGTGCTCCCTATGTACACAAAAGGTGTTCCGTGGTTTACTATGGATGATGTCTAATGCATAGGTGCCACGTAACATGGATATGGAGGCTATGGATAAAATAAGATGGGTTGTTGTTTTTCAGAAAAAAAAACTGCATTAGCTCGAGCTGTTATCTGTTGAAAAAAGGGAGTTGGAAGTTCTGATGTTGTTCTGCAGTTAACAGTTTGTTACCTAGCTGCATGCTGGATTGTGAGTGCTCTTTAAGTTATGTTTAGTTGTTGTGTAGCGCAAGTAGTTTTTGTAACTGGCTTTTCATTCTGTATAAAACACTATGTCAATTAGGGATATATAAGTAACTTACTGATTGTTAGTGATAGTGAGTAATTTACATTTAATTTTGTACTTATTGGAGGGGTGGTGGATAAAATAGAGAAGAGAAGATGCATAGAAAAAATTTGTCACAGTAGGGGAAATTCAGAATTTTTTAAAATATTGCCTTATAAAATCAAGAAATTAAAACTTATATACTATTAAGATATGGATTATTAGCCAAGATTTTATGCTATACTAATTGGTATAACATAAACAAAAAGTAGATTAATAAAATTTTGAATGTAGGTCATCAAAACCTTGTGACATGCTTGGTAAAGGATGCCCGTCACTATAGGGTTAAAGGGTTGTAACATCTGTGTTGTGTGTTTTTAGAGGTGAAAGTTAACACTCCTTGAACAAGGTGCTAATTTAAATTTGACTGGTTTCTAAATTTATTATTTTAATATGTAGGTTTGATGTAACACAGTCAAAAGAGTTGTATTTTAGCAGGTGACTCAAGGTTATAGCCACACCTATGCTTGAATCAGAATGACCAGTTATGTGATTAGCACTAGTCATTCTGGGTAAATTCAACATTAACTGTGAAGTAAGGAACAATGAATTTATACATTTTGGTAGATGATTTCAGCTTAATCAGTTGAAGATATAGCATCCAGTAGACCAACCCACATTTGATAACTTTGCTTGTGAGTTTATTGTGGGAATTCTTTGTCTCTTTCTTTTTTGGACTCAATAACTCAAAGATTCAATATTACTTCCTAACAAATTTATTTTCAAATCTTCTCTTAAATGGATCTGTCACACTTCTCTTGAACTGAATGTAACACATATGAAAAACAAGTTTGATAAAAAAAAAGTTGTTATATGTTTCAACACAAGTGATAGAATATGCTAAACCAAAGACTATTTTATAATTGATATTCAATATGTAAAACCAATACAAAAACTCAGTCTCAAATCCTTCGGAAAGCTACATGCTTGTTTACTTGCAAGGAATAAAAGAGAGACAGGAACTGAGACAACTTGATTTTCTAACATATCTGTTAAATTATCTCACATATTTATATTAATAGGCTGTACTGAAAAAAACCCAACAACATTAGAACAATCAAATGAGCCTGTTATAATCTAATAAGCTTTCAGAAAGGGCAGAGCTTGAATTGAACTCAATTTTCTCTGAGACCAACATATAAAATCAGATATACTTAAACAAAAGACACAAGGGTTCAAAGGGATAACTCAAAATGTTTTGGAAACTTCTGTGAAAAACTACATATCAGCATAAGATTATCATAAAAAGTGCATGTTTAGATATTTCTTTAGTACATGAAACCTTTGCAAGTAAAATTATACTATTCAAGATATTATGTGACATGCTGATTTTCAAAATAAATTACAAAAATTATAATTATCCCTCAAACACCAAAAATTTAAATGTTTTTCTCTTTCATAGGTACCTTCTTATTTACTTTGCCTTAAATATACACCAATATTTATTGTCTTCAAAAAAAATAATTGATAAGTTTATAACAATTCCATGTTATGATATCAAAATCTTAATACATTTAATATTAAGTTAAATGTGTGTGTGTCAATTTTTATTGCTTACTTAATCTATTTATAAAGCTATTCTTACTTATGCTACTTATAAAACTATATGGAGTATGTTTCAGACTAAAAAAAATATTACCTGTAGCATTTTTGAAGTATCGCACACACATATCCATTGTGGCAATGCTATAACGATACAACATAAAACACTAAATACAAGATGTTGCTACATAAAACATCAGAATTACAACAAGTACAAATATTACTACTTGGCATTACTCCTTTAAACAATACTGAAAAATTATATATTAACAACAGAGAGAACGATTGTATGTAAAAAAACAGTATCTTAGGCTAAACTTTCTAAAAGCTACAATGATATAAATGCAGCTATAAGATTAGACTAGCACATATTGGAGGCTATCATGTAATAGGTATATCATCACCATCAGGCAAAAAGCAGTTAAGATTAATATTCTAAAACTGAAATTAACACAGATATTTTACAAGTAGAAGGATCTTAGGAGGTACATTATCATAGTGCTTTGGTTATAAGGTTAAAGAAAGCAAAGGTTAAATAACCCTTGGTTATCATAAACTTGATCATCGGGACATTATGACAATGCACTTGCTGAAAACAATTTAAATTTGAAATATCCTGGTTAATTTGTGCTTTGATTTTTAAAATGTAAAAATGTTCAGGACATTGTAAAGGTGTACCTGCAAAGAGCCTTATTCTTGTAAGATATCTGTTTACCTAATATTGGAGATGGTAACCCTTGATTATCATAAACTTGATCATCGGGACATTAATAACCCTTGGTTATCATAAACTTGATCATCGGGACATTAATAACCCTTGGTTATCATAAACTTGATCATCGGGACATTATCACAACAAATGCATATAAGTTTACACAGAGCTAGGCAACACCTATCTACAATGTATTATAATAATACTCAGTTTTTCGTCTGTCCTGAAAATGCATGCACACTTCATTTGCATGCATGTAAACAAAAGGTGGATGTAAATATACTTTAATAGACATTCTGTACAACAATATATTAAAAGCTTATCAAAGTTTTTAGAAAGGTCTAATGCTAGGTATTAGAATAACATTATTTAGTGATAGTATTAAGTGTGGTAAAGTTTAGCCCTAATTAAATTAATGCAAAAAATATACACAAGTTACTGTGTTAATTAACCTTTTTATTGAACAAAGGCTGTACTTAATAAAGGCTTAACTAACTTAGGCCGAAGACAAGTGATCTTATAAATTTTGGTGTCTGCGATTAGAATTATTTTGTGTGATTACTTACAGAAGTAATGTTACAATAAAGATAATAATATGGTTTGCAGGTCTTTGCTAGATAATCTTAAATCATATAACATTCTAATCATCAGATAAGAGACAGGATAGGTTATTGCCTATGTAAATAAGATAACAGTACTACACTCCTATACCATCCTATTAAACAGACACAGTAGGCTAATATCTTTATATTCTCATTAACACTAGGATGTTGACCTAATTGCTACAAAGCAGTATTACCACTCTTTAATTACGAACTGAAAATAAATTTCTGATATAAGCTGAAAACACAAAAAAAAACCCGAAAAAGGTTTATTACTAGAAAAAATTAATCAAAATTATCTCACAGAAACAAAAAGGACATACCTTCACACGAAAAATGTTTGTCCAAAATGTCCATGTTTCTTTTATCATACAAGTAGCTTTTTAAAGACTAAGAAAAATACTTATCATTTATGGCAACATAGAAGACATTTCAAGATGTTCTAATGCATTCCTTTGAAGTTAATGGCCATTACATAAGTAATCCTTACGTGCTGGAGTGGGAGCAGTCACTGAGAAAAATTAACTCGTTATCACTTCAGTAGGCTTGTGTCTAGAATTTTAGATTTTAATGTATTTTGAAGTTTTACCATGTGGTAGCTGTATCCGCTTGTTTTTTTCTCCACCTTTTTCTGTATAGACCCCAAGTAATATTAATTCAAGACTTCTATGAAGTTGTTCATGTTTAAAAATTAGTTAAATCAAGATAACATTTATTTTAATATAGTGAAACAATATCTCCCGAGTAATATTCAACGTAAAAAAAAAACATTTCTGTTAGCTCGGAATTTCACTTGGATCACTCACACAGAAAATATAGGGAATACTAATGGAACACATCATAATTACTGTTTATTTATAAGGATTGAGAACATCGTACAATTAGATGTAGTCTTTGAGAAAAACTGAAAGTTACCAAGAAAATGCAACTCTTAAATTAATTCTAACATGTGAAACCAATTATGTACAAGTTCAAAATGTTGAAAGTAAAAAAGAAGTCTAATACATAATGTAACCCATGTACAATTGAAGTTTTAAGACTATCATAACAATTTCCTCACAATAAATCACATAGTCTAAATCTAAACATCACATTACAGCAACACTCTGTTATGATTTTAAAATGAATGAGAAATATGTGGACATTCCGTAGGTACACAATGAATTGAGTTATTTATAACTTTTCTGTTAAATATTCACCTTCCACAAAGAGTACTGGTGCCTGCAATTATTGCCCTGTGGCCTTCAATTTCCACAGCCTGTTCACCAATGTAATGTGTTCCTGCTTCTAGGCCCATGGTCTAATAGCATTTGATGTTACTTGTAGGTTTGGTTTTAGTTACGGATGCTGTATCAGTTAAACAAGTGTAGCATGCAGGGTGCTAATGTGTGTCTTACTGCTCTGGAGGTAGCATTCACACCCGTACTTACAATTAGATCATTAGCAACATCTTTACTGGACTGTCGTGTATCTCGCAAAGAGCATACTTTTAAGTTACCTAACATCACCTTTGAAGGGTTTGGGATTTCTATCTCAGCTGCATCTTTTATCAACAGTATTAGGTTGATGAATTCTATTCATAGTTTCTATACAGTTCCTACTGAAATGTGGAATTTCACCTCTTTTTGTAGTGTGGATTACTCTTCATTAGAAAAAGTTTGATTTTCACACATTTGTCGTATAGCATTTCTGACCCAGGAGCCATAAGTTTTCACCACACTGATTTTGGGAATTTCAAAAATCCATGAACGAAAGCTAAAGAGAATATGTTACAACATGTGAATCACACTACATCTGCCATATCCAATGCCGACAAAATCTGTCGTCCAATATCGGGGCTTATCATGCTGGCTAAGATACGACAAGCATAATAGTAGTTTAGGTGCTCTATGTATCATCAGTTTTCGTGAACAACAACTGTTAAGGTGTCAATCAGATTAAGCAAGTGAATTGTAATTATTATCAACAAATATTATGACTGACTGACCACTTTTTGTAGGCATTATGCTGGTGTTGCACTATTTTATTAGTTGGATGACAGCCAGTCACGGTGTATTCTGGTGCAGCTCATTTTAATATAGTTTAGGGAAGAATAATTTCAGAAAATACAAATTTTATTCCATTAACTATTTCCATAAACTACATTTGTGAATTCCTAATTGGCAAGTTTACTTAGAATTGTCTAATGAATTGTTTTTTTTGGTCTAAATATTAAACTGATTCATTTTCAATGTAATAGCTAGATTTGATATTTACATAAAATAACTTTGATAATTCTGTCTAAAAGATTTTTAACATTATATATATATATACATTACACTTTTTCAGTGCTTCAAAAAACATAAAAGTGTAATAAGTACTGTGGAATGCAACTTTGAAGAAAGGTTTTTGTGTTATATACCAAATGTATTTATGTTGGAAGAATTGTTTCTTAGCATTCATATTTGATTTTATATGTTTAATAAATTTATTTTTTGAGAATAACAATTTTAGAAGCTAAGAGAATGGTGCATTGTTTAGATTCATCACTAAAGAGCACCCTCCTACAGCTCATTTATTGTTTGAATTTAGATTCATCACTAAAGAGCACCCTCCTACAGCTCATTTCATTGTTTGAAGCGTAATACCCAAGTTATACTTTTAGTTTGGTTATTTCTTCTAAGCAGTGGTTTTTAAACAGCTACACATCTGTTAGAACCACTTTTTCAAACAATGAAATGAGCTGTAGGAGGGTGCTCTTTAGTGATGAATCTAAATTCAAACAATGAAATGAGCTGTAGGAGGGTGCTCTTTAGTGATGAATCTAAATTCAAACAATAAAATGAGCTGTAGGAGGGTGCTCTTTAGTGATGAATCTAAATTCAAACAATGAAATGAGCTATAGGAGGGTGCTCTTTTAGTGATGAATCTAAATTCAAACAATGAAATGAGCTGTAGGAGGGTGCTCTAAATTCAATTTCTTTGGCAACAACCAATTATTATAATTATTTATACTTGTCATAACATATTAGTGTTAGGCCTATCATCTCTTTAACACTACATTTTTATTCAGTCCTTTATCAATCTAATACTGTTGATAAAAGCAGCTGATTTAGAAAGCCCAAACAATTCAAAATGGATTTTCAAGAAAAAGAAATGCACAACTGTATTTCAACCACACAACGCTTCTAAAGTTTCAGTGGAACTTTAGGCAGTCAACATGGTAGGTTTGAGAACAACTAACTAACTATTCTAACTGTACAGTAATCAAATATCTATCACACAATGTCCTATTTACTGGGAACTACCTCCCTGAATCATAGTTCAGAAACCAGGGAATGCCAATTTTAGTTATCAAGTTTCAAATCAGCTGACAATACTAACTGCTGGTTAAGGACCACCTAATTCCATCATAATGATTTGGTATTCCACAATGACATCTTGACCTTGAGAGCAGACAAACTGCTGCTTTAATGATATTTTCACATCAGACTTTTAATGAACTATCAAATATATAATACCTGCTACTTCCTCCTTTATCAGCTGATTTGAAACAACATGATAGTGTTTTCATTATCACAGTAAACTTGCTCATTATTCTCTGCTTCTTTAATTGAACAGTTCTTAAGATGCTCGTTAGTGATGTATGTTTTAAACTTGTCCATAATTTTTACACACTCACTGTTTGTTACAGTTACTTCATATATTTCCTGACAAACAAAACGATTAGTATCAACTACTACAGAAAATAAAGCCACTCCACAAATTTCTGTAATCACCGAGATACATCTGCATTGGAAGGAGAGCCATACATCAGATTACATGGGAGCAGTACTTAAACTGGACATCGGGAAGTTTAGAGAAGGACCAGTTGACATTCAGCCGCATCAGAGGCAATCACCACATACAGTTTAGTCAGGGTTCACAAGAGATACATCTGCATTGGAAGGAGAGCCATACATCAGATTACATGGGAGCAGTACTTAAACTGGACATAGGGAAGTTTAGAGAAGGACCAGTTGACATTCAGCCGCATCAGAGGCAATCACCACATACAGTTTAGTCAGGGTTCACAAGAGATACATCTGCATTGGAAGGAGAGCCATACATCAGATTACATGGGAGCAGTACTT